GTTTTTGTGGGATTTCTGTGGGGTTTTTGGGCTCGGAGCAGCTCCTGTTCCCGCTCCGAAAAGGCCCCGAGCGACTCCTGCAGCTCCCGGCGCTTCACCTGAGGGAAAAAGTGGATTTTAGGAGGTTTTTGTGGAGTTTTTGTGGGGTTTTTGGGCTCGGAGCAGCTCCTGTTCCCGCTCCGAGGAGTCCCCGAGTGATCCCTGCAGGGCCCGGCGCTCCGCCTGAGGGAATTGAGAGATTTCTGTGGGGTTTTTGTGGGGTTTAGGGGTATTTTGGGGGATTTCGGTGGGGTTTAGAGGTATTTTGGGAGATTTCTGTGGGGTTTTTGGGGTTTTGGGGTATTTTGGGGGATTTCTGCAGCTCCTGCTCCCACTCCGAGGATTGCCCGAAGGATTCCTGCAGATCCTGCCTCTCCGCCTGAGGGAAAAAGGGGATTTTTGTGGGGTTTTGGGGCATTTCTGAGGGATTTTGGGACAATTGGGGCCGTCTCCATCACGACGGGCAGATCCGGATGGGGATTTTTGTGGATTTTTGTGGCATTTTTGGGCCGTATCCCTCAGGACGGGCAGATCCAGATGGGATTTTTTTGTGGGATTCTTTCGGGATTTTTGTGGGATTCTTTTGGGATTTTTGTGGGGTTCTTTTGGGATTTTTTGGGCCATATCCCTCAGAATGGGCACATCCAGACGGGATTTTTCTGTGCAATTTTTGTGGGATTCTTTTGGGATTTTGGGGCCGTATCCCTCAGGATGAGCGCATCCAGACGGGATTCTTTCAGGATTTTTGTGGGACTCAGACGGGATTTTTGTGGGATTCAGATGGGATTTTTGTGGGATTCAGACGGGATTTTTGGTGCCGTATCCCTCAGGATGAGCGCATCCAGACGGGATTTTTTTTTTTTTTTAAATTTTTGTACAGAACTTTTTCCCAGTACCTCCAGTTTGGCCACCTTCTCYCGGAGCCGTGCCTGGTTCTCCTCCCAGTTCCCCTCCTGGCTCTGCAATTCCTTCAGCTGCGATTGCAGCCCCCGCCATTTCCCCCTCAGCTCCTCCAGCTCCGCTTCCAGAACTTTCCG